TTATCCAACTACACGTATGCGACCTATCCTTTTCGTCCGGAATTGAATTTGACGCGGAATATATACGGATCAAGTTACATGATTAGCCAACACGAAACACGACATGGAGTGGTAGGTAAAAGAGTATACTTTTTGCTTACTAAACGTGGAACGTTATTTTTTTACCATTAAAAATATTCATCATACGTTTGCAGTTAATTTTGATATAAACAAAACGCCATTAATCTACTTAAACGAACTTTCAACATTTTATGATTATTTTTGAATAATTCGTTTTTCACATAGTGTGAGAAATCCCCAGTTGAAAATCCATACTCTACCTTCAATTCCATTCTACTAATATTAGTTGTGAAAGTTGTTATGTCGAATTACAAAATCCGTTCCTCGATTTTTTTTTAAGAATTAATTTTTGAAGATGGTAATAACTAAATAGAGCATAGCATAGATAAACAAAAGAAAACACCAAATGAGCAATAAACATCTCCATTCTTTTTTTACTACAATTACAATGCAAATAACAATCTACATTTTGTTTGCATAGAAAAATAAAAACAGTATAATTTAGAGGCGATCTAAATCATTTACGACTATGCACATACCTGAAAGGTACTTCAACAGTCTTTGTTTTACGTGAACGGAGAAGAAGAATAAAATAGAATTTTAGTCACTATCCACACCACTTGAGAGATATTGCATCGTCTCTCTCTCTCCAAGGCACTCTTTTGAATTGGAAATGAGAATAGTTATGGTCTCCCTTGATTTGGCTTTTTTCTCTCCTTGAGAATAGCTATGATCGTTATAAGACCTTAAGGGTCAAATTAGTTTTTTAATAAATAAACCTTTTTTTTTTTGTAATCTATACCCAATTTCAGAAAGAAAAAAAACTACATGTCATGGAACCGGACAACAAAACAAAAACACTAACTATTGAATTGTTGTATTTTGATGAATGGCATAAAGTTCCAAAAATATAACTTAACTCTTACATCCAAACAAGAGTGCAAGTCGTCATAGTTATCTACATAATCAATTTTTAGGAAGGTCCTCCTGGCTAAATATGATGATAATTATCTAAAATACAACTTGGAAATTCAAAAGATGTTAATGCTATCTAAAATAAATCTATACACATCTGAAAGAAGGCCGAATCTTGCCTTGATGACTGTAAATGCACATATATAACAAATAAGAATCCGGAAAGCAAACGAAAAAAACTAGCTAGTATCAACATGTGTATAGTGTGGCATGGTCATATTGAATTTAGGGTTGGTGGAATAAATTTGTTAGAGATTTGGATTTGATTATATTGTGTAAGCAAAGCAAACACGTATACATATGGGTCGTTTTTACTTGAATTTTGGTCTAGACACTTTAATCCGTGGTAGGTATGATTATAGAAAACTAATAACCATAAAACATGTTTATTTTCAAAATTAATCGGTTGCTTCGACGAAAGTTGTAGCCGGTTATGATTGAAATCGTTTAATCGTCTATCTCTCAACACATTTTTTGTGATGTCTCGAGCAATAGAGACACAAATTTTAGGTAGTGATATCTAGACAATGTAAACAAAATCATAAGTTTAAAGAAAAACAAATTTCACAAAAAAAAAAGAAGAAAAGAAACACAAATCATGTTATATAAGAACACTTGATAATTAATGATGCAATCTAATTTCTTCCAATTGTGTGACTTTTTCTCGTGTTAATTAAATGATCCACAAATTACTTCATCTCAATTCCCAAGCCCATGGGTTAGTATCATAAAGGCCCAATAAACGTTGCTTCACAAGACCAAAAGAGAATAAGGAAAACGGAAACACTTGAAAGATCTGGCTACCACCACCATAACACAACGATCGATGACTAGTACAATCGGAAAGTTTGAAAACTCGACGAAGATGACTGATAAGGTTCGCCGTGGCTTTCCGACGGAGCTCCTCCTTTCGGCTCTCCTCTTATGTCTGGTTCCGGTGATGATTCCGGTCGGTGAGGCGGTGTGGCTAGAGGTACCTCCCACCGGAACAAAGTGTGTATCGGAAGAAATCCAGAGCAATGTCGTCGTTTTAGGCGATTACCTCATCATCTCGGAGGATCATAACGTCTTACCCACCATCTCCGTCAAGGTAATTTCGGTTCCGATGATTTCTCTTCTTCGCTTGTTCGGTTGATTTTGAATCTGCATTTTGTTACTCGATCCGTAATTTTCAAACTGATCCCTCGAAATATTTTGAAATTAATCACAAAGTGTTCGATCCAAGCTTCCTTATTTGGAAAATTTTGCTCAATGATAATGAAATTAATCCGAGTTTATTTTGGATTTTTCATCCAAATCTTACGTTAATTAACGAAAGCAGTTTCAATGGAGTAACAGAATTGCATTTCAATTGTTATTATGCCTTATGAAGGATTTTTTATATGAATATTGTTTGTACCAATTGGCATTTTAAACATTCAGATCAGAATTTTTGTGGGAAGAGAGTACAAAGAAATTTTTGTGTGTGATCTTGATGAAATCTGCGTTTACGTTGTTCGATTGTGACAGATCATACTTTTAAGTTTCTTATCTTATATTGAGCAAGAATCAGTTGGTAATTTGATAATCTTGGGGTTTTGCTGGTTCCACATAGCTTGATGGATTGTTTTAGTGGATTGAGAACAGTCGTTGGAGTGGAACTTGAACAGATATCGAATATGGAAAATGCGGGAATATACTGGTCCTGGATGGTGTTCCTCTGTTCCTTGTCTCTGAGTTTTGAGAATTGGTTATGTTGTAGGTGACATCCCCATATGGCAACAGACTGCACCATATGGAAAACGTAACGCATGGCCAATTTGCGTTTACAACCCAAGAATCCGGGAACTACATGGCTTGCTTTTGGGCAGATGCAAAGAGTCACGGAAACCAGAATGTTAGCATCAACATTGACTGGAAAACCGGAATCGCTGCTAAAGATTGGGACTCTATTGCTAAGAAAGAGAAGATTGAGGTGAGCTTTTCCAAAATATTTTTACAGTTCAGAGAATGGTTGCTTTATGTTTCGCTTCTAAATCATCAATTTCACGATTTAGCCGCGAAGTCTAACTGTAGAAAATCTCTATTTTGTTATGATTACATTTGGTTTGCTTGTTAACGTAGGGTGTGGAGCTGGAGATTAGGAAACTCGAAGGCGCAGTCGAAGCCATCCATGAAAATCTACTCTACCTAAGAGGCAGGTAAATAATCTTCAGCTGATCTTGTCATCTTTGCTGAACTCTCTCGTTCTCAAAATTTTGCTGATAGAAAAAATGGCCAATTTGCAGAGAAGCAGAGATGAGGACAGTGAATGAGAAAACGAACTCCCGTGTAGCGTGGTACAGTATAATGTCGCTGGGTATCTGCATTGTGGTCTCTGGTTTACAAGTAGTCTACTTGAAGCATTACTTTGAGAAGAAGAAGCTTATATAGTTTTTAAGATCCTCCGTATCGAGTAATAAATATTCAATTCCTTTGCTTACACTCTCTCTTTTTTAACTGAGGATGTAAAATTTTGTTCACGGATTTTTCTTGTAGCTTCTCTTTGTTTAGATTTTATTATTTCTGATTCTTACAAAACTGAATCAAAAG